TGCAGTTTATCAGACCATTTTGGTCAATTGATTTCATTAGGTTCGCAAAACAATGGCAATGTTAACACCAAGAGCGTCCTTCATCGTCCACTTACTGCATCAGGTCGCATAAAACTGTTTAACTCCCTTAGCGAGAAGGATTGGAGTCCTATATGGAATAGTGATATGGATGCAAATTTAAAATTTAACGCCTTCTTCGAGGAATTTCAACGTGATTTTGCAGAATCCTTTCCAATAACAAAATTGAAGCGATCTACCAGCCGAAATTGTGTGAACTGGTTCAACAAAACTTTAAAAATGCTGAGGCAATCTTACCAGTTAATATCTCAATTGTATAATAAATACAAAACCAATGAACTTTTAATTTTAAAAGGAAAAACAAGGTCTTCTTATAGATGTGCTATTAAGGATGCCAAGATAGCTGCTAACAACGTTGCGATAAGAACATCGAGTAACCCTACCAAAACAATGTGGAGCAACGTTAATGCACACAGAGGATCAAACAGGACTACCTTACATCCACACCATCTTACACCAGACGAGTTCAACAGGCATTTCATTAATACTTCTAACTCAACTACAGGCTTTACTCCTACTCCTACTTATCGATCGGATGACACCAATATCAACGACGTTGACACTTCCAAACAACTTAAGCTTGATCATCATCTAACATCGCTACTAGAAGTTTTGGACGTAATCAGATCGTTAAAAAACGGTCATAGCAAAGATCTTTATGGGACGACCGTCAATTTCATCAAAAGCAATTCAAGTTTATATGCCAACTTATTAGTGAAGCTAATTAACAGTACCCTTCGTGACCGCCCGATATCAATTCTGCCAGCTTTTTCGAAATTATACGAGAAAATTATGTACAGTCGTATATCTAAGTACCTGGAAGATAACAATCTACTGTACAATAAGCAGTTTGGATTTCGACCTGGAAGGTGTACAGCCGATGCCATTCTGTCTTTCGTTCAATACACCCTGGAGTGTTTTGAGCAGGGCCAGTATTGTAGGGCAATATTCATTGACTTAACTCGTGCGTTTGATTGCATCCCACACGACATTCTCATTAATAAACTAGTGCATATATACAATTTTGATAAAAAAAAGTGCTTGCTTAATAAAATCGTATATTACCAATCGATTTCAAACTGTGCGCGTTAATAACGAATTCAGTGAAATACTGCCAGTGAATAAGGGCGTTCCGCAGGGAAGCATACTGGGGCCGTTATTGTTTCTCCTTTACATCAACGACCTACCAACCAGCATCCCTCATGAGTGCGTATGTTTATTGTATGCCGATGATACCACCTTGTTACAAAAAGATGGAGACCCAAACGACTTAATTGCAACCTCGGAACTCAACCTTGAATCTACAGCTGAATGGTGTACCAACAATGGTCTGGACATTAACGCTTTAAAAACCGAGAAGATGATTTTAACCTAAGGCGCCTTCGTTACGACAACCCAGAATACGTAAAATTTCTTGGAGTACGTTTAGATCCTAAGTTAGACTTTAACAGCCACATTGACTACGTCACCTCTAAACTTAATACAAACATTTTTGTTTTACGTAGGTTACACGATCAAGTATCACTCGATATATTGAAAAATGCTTACTTTGCTCTCTGCCACAGCCTCCTCTCTTATTCTATGGGGTAACAATCCATGTTGGAAACGCTTATTCAGGGTACAGCGCCGAGCAGTGCGTGTATTAATGAATTTAGGCTATAAAAGCGAGTGTCGTGACGCCTTTAAATGTGCGAAAATGCCATGTATATTTATATTAACTTGTCTTTGTCATGTTAAATTAAATATTGACAACTATACCTACAATTCAGACGTCCACGATTATTGCACGAGAAGGAGAGCAGCAATAAGAATTCCATTTTACCGGTTGAGCAAAACGAAAGATAGCTCTATAGCTATGTCTCAAAAATTTTATAACCATCTCCCGGATACCATAAAGGCTTTACCTTACGCAACCTACAAAACACATATCAAACGATTTCTTATTAATAACCCTTTTTATTCATATGCGGAATTTTTTAGTTATGAATTTTGAATTTAATTATTTTGTATTTCGTTTTTATTGACGTTTGTAAGCAATGTTTCTGTTGCAAAGCATAATAATAATAAAAATAAAAAAAAAAAAAAAAAATATTCTGAAGTTTTCAGTTATGTGAGTTTATGTTTATAGATTGGTTCACGTGTTGATTCAAAAGATACCATATATGCTTCTTATATGCTGAATCAAAAACTTGTCCACATTTTGTTTTTTGTATTTTGTACAAATACATGCTTAATTTGGAATTATGGGACCAGCACAACCACATGTGGAACCCTTCCATGAATCCCATTTGTATGTCAAATATATCTTCAATATTTATTTATTATCTCTGACAATGTGAGCCATTGCATGAGATACGTCAAATGTACATATAACTCCACAATTTAAAATACTAGAACACGTTAAAATAATTACAAAAAAACTAGTTTCGAAAACAAAAGTTAAAAAACTCATCCACAGTGTATGGTGCTTGAATTAAAAGAATTGCTTTTATAGCTGCCCTAAAACTCTTTAATGTTTTCTGACCTGTTACACTTTTGGGGAGGACATTATATAATTTAATTCCCATTGACGTAGAAGAAATTTCTGCTAGCTTGCCTTGACGAGGGAGTTACAAAATGATCTTTTGTGTCGAGTGTTATGTGAATGTAAATTACAGTTACGTAATAATTGATGCCGATTACTGAAAATGGATGATGATACTTCTAAAATGTATATAGATGCGAGAGTTAAAATACTGAATTTCTTAAAAATTGGTCGGCAAGATTCATATGTGCTAATACCGGCAATACATCGAACTATCCTTTTTTGAATTAGAAATACTTTCTTTGCTGAGCTGGACGATCCCCAAACAATAATGCCGTCTGAAAGTCTGGAATGTATTTGAGCAAAATAGTATGTCAACGTGTGCTCGATACCTATTAGTTGATTGTTGCGTATTTGGTAGCAGTAGGTGTTCAACCTCTTTACAAGGGTGTTACAATGACACTTCCAGTTTAAATTTTGATCTATATAAATACCTAGAAATTTACCGTTGTCTTGAGTGGGAGCGCTTTTACTAATCATCGAATTACTGAAATCTGAAATTTTACTACCACGACAGGTGAATGGAAGCAATTTAGAAACATGACAATGTCATTTATAAAAAGTATGAATAGGATGGGACCCAAAACGGATCCTTGAGGTACTCCTACATTAACAAACAAAGGCGACGATAAGAATTTAGATATAGTTCCTCCATTTTTGAACTTAATCTCTACCTGTTGGCATCTGTGGGATAGATAAGACGAGACCCAATTTGCAACCACACCCCGTATACCATAAAAGTTTAATTTGTGCAATAATAATGAGTGATCGACGGTATCGAAGGCTCTGCTTTGTATCCCTTAAAGAAGTATTGTGGCAACAAGTCTGAGCCCGTTGAACGCTTACAATTTAAGTGCTTAATAGCACCTAATACGTCATTTGGGGAAACTTCTACTAAATCAAGTGCCACGTTCCAGGGTTCACAGTTTGTAGTAGAGATTGCAGCTTCGACGTGATATTGATTTTGCGCGGGTAGATATACGGATTCAAAAACTTCCGCAAATTTATCAGCTATTTCATTTCCCATCTTAATAACTGCGTTTCCGCACAGCATATTGTTTTCGAGATCTACATGTTGGCGCATATTATTTATGAAAGACCAGAAACGATTTGGATCGGAGTGAATGTTGGATTCTACTTGTGCAATGTAATTTTTATGAGCCATTGAGATTCGTTTTTTCACGTCTGCCCTCAAGTGGCTAAATTCCAAATAGGTACCTACTGATCGTGGATCATTACTTAAATAATTTAAATATGTAGTCATCTCAATAGTTTCAAACTTTTATAAGTCGCTTTTATTTTTAAAAACTTCAACGAATAAAAACTATATGGGGAAGGTTTAGAGAGTTTTGATCACACAATAAATAAATTACGGTTGAAAAGGTAATGCTGGAATCCCAAAATACGGTAAATTAACTTCACTTCTGCCCCGTCAAATACCTCGGTCACAGTTCACACGGCTTCCAGGTACAAGGACTTTTAAGTTGTTAAACACAAAACCTTCCCCATACTAATTTAATTAAAGATGTAAAAGCGAGTAGTTTCGACCAACGGTCATCTTCTGGGTTGTGGAGGTTACAAATTAAAATTGGGACATTTTAACAAATAAAAACTATTTAAAAAGCAGGTATGGTGAAAAAGCTAGATTAAGTTATATGATCACAAGTCAATTTTTACTTACGGGAAAAAACGATTACAACTTAATTTTAAATAATTTTTGTAATTAATTGTTATCTCTATTTTCGTTCGTATCTTTATCGTTACTATTGAAATTGATCATTTTAGGGTTCACGTCAGATTTAACGATACCTCTATATTCTTGTCATATGTCAATTCTTTGCATGTAAAAGGCGCATAATTATTTATGCATAAGAAAAGAAAATATCATTTATCGCAAAGTTCACTGTTCTTGAAATAAGCAAAATTATGCATTGGATTAAATCACTTTAATCGCAAATGACGGCTGTCTTCACACACCTTAAACAATCAAGTTGAAAAAGCAAACACATATTCAATCTCGACATTGGCTATAACCATGATCAGCAAAGTACATCTCATAAGAGGAATTGCGAGAACAAAGGACTGAGAAATTCCGATTAGACTCGAGGACTGTAAATAAACGTTGAAAGCCAATTGAGACCTCCAGGGCTAGTTGGCATTGGAAGGATTTATTTGAGAGAATATGTACAGGGACCGTACGTGGAAATCATGCAGGGAAGACTACTTGATGGACCTCCTCTCGAAGCACTCTGTGAAGCTGTCACTACTCGAAAGCAACAAAGCAAGCTGCACACCGTACGTTGTGATTTCTACAAAGCTCTTTCACTATAAGACTTACCCCGAAGAGAGATCCCAGATCATTTTCTTCGTTTTTGGTTTTCAGTATATGCGTATTGTATGTTAGATACTGACAGGTTTGATTAAAAAGCAATGTTTGAGCCAAATTTGTCACGTCTTTCGCCTGTTAAATATACGGAACTTGTTAGTCACACTCGTAACAGAGAAAAATCGGTTAAGTACACAAAGCACATCCTGGATGTTTCTAAACCTCGCCCTGTTACGTCGATCTAAATTTGCTATAATTAGACGGCAAAGTTTTTTTTAGTAGGCCCTCTCCCAGTTACGATTTCGAGCATTCACAAAAAGAAACATATGTACATAGAATCGTGCACATACAGAACATGCTGTAAATACGAGTTTTACCACCGGTGCGTGTGCTTTCACTTGGTGAATAGTAACTGAATTAGTGATGGACACCGAAGAAGGAAGGCGATAGTATTCGTCTAGTCTGCACCATCCGAAAAGCGAATTTCAGTAGCTTTGTACTTACGGATACCACTGAAGGCACACGCACGCAACTCGACCAAGTCGATGATCTTCCGCTCATACTCACATGTGATGAGTCAGAGACCGACGTGTCTTGAGTACGATAGATTCCGATCGGTATTTCGCACGTCGTCGAGCATAGCTTCTGGTAAAGACGTCCGTAGGTGCGTATCCACATATCGTCTTTCGTAATTTTCATCTGAAAACGGATTCGCATTAACGGCCCCAAGTGTAGCGCCTCGTCGGGAACTTACCGACGTAAGGAAGCCCGATCCGGGAGCCTGGTCGACTCCTAACAGTAGTCTGACGAAGGTGATGACGTAGTCTTTCACGAAGGCCTGGTAGAGGAGGGTGTCGAGCATGCTCGCACTGAATACGCTTCCGGCGGCAAATGGTAGACGAAACATGTACGACAGGTGAGAACCGCGTTCCTTTTCTCTCTAAACAGTAACAAAAACTGCTATCAGCAGCGGTTTTTGCCAAATGGATCTTCATATGCAAAATCCAAGATTTTCTTGGGGGTTGCCGAAAAAAGTGCACCAGTTTGCTAAAGGGGGCATACTACCCAACTGATGTGTCACAGTTTCAATAACATTTCTAGTTTGTGCGACATACACCATGATACCTTAAAGCTGAAATATACGCCGTGCTTCAAGTTATATGTCACAGTGAAAATGTCCGATGTTCGGTCCGCAACCATTTATACACGCAAGCAATGTAAGTCCAGAACATTCGCGTAATTACCAGATACGTTGCAAACATTCCCACTATCGCGCGCTTAGAAAATTCCAGAGCGCCAAAGGCTACGTCATGTCTGGAGCGTTTCCGTTACACTGCCCCCTTCTTAATTCTGGGCGTCTCGTTCAGAAACTGCGTTAGTATTACTTTTTAATGCCTCGTGTCGGAATCTGCAGTCAGAGCCTGCTCGACAAACACCTTTCTTGAAAAAGTAACAGTCCACAGTTTTGCGGAGGGTCGTCCCCTGTGGGTTGAAGCAGCATACTGTAATTCGAACGCTAGTGTTTCTAAAAATCACTTCGATCATGGTTCGCACTATCTTCCAGTCCAACCCATCTAAACCACATCCAATCTTCGGGATCGCCAAGCTATTTATGTCATAGTATGCCATGAGTTTCTTTAAGCTTTTTAAAGCAGACCAGAGGTTTTCATAGGTGGGTTTGCCTTCTGACGTTTTCTTTGAAACCAAGTAGAACAAAGAGCGTTGACTATCTTCCAAGCGCAGTACTTTACCCACTCGTGGTCTTTGCTTTAACAACTCGTCTATCCTTCCAAATCTTTTCCGGAATACGGAAGCTAAGCGACACAATGGGCGATGGAAACGTTAACCGGAAGCTCAAAAATATTTTGACAAATTTCCTGAGTAACGCCAAATCGAGCTTTCTTCCGCTGGGCGTAATTTGACATAAAACCGTTAAAGTTTGGCTCGATCCCAAAGCTGCGTTCCTCTTCTCGAATACCTCTAACTTCTTCGTTGTTGTTGGATCCGGCATATCGTGCGAGTCGATTAATGTGGACAACTCTCGGTTTCCGGTGGTTCATTCTGATACGATATATCACGTCATTTATTTTCTTGATCACCTCATACGGACGTTCGCATTGTCTTTGTAGCTTGGGAGAAAGACCTCTTCGTCTCTGGGGATTGTGCAGCCATACCAGATCTCCAGCTTCAAAAGTTTGATTGGCCGAGCGGAGGTTGTATTGATTTTTCATGCGATCGCTGGCAATCTGAATATGACTTCTAGAGGTTGTATTGATTTTTCATGCGATCGCTGGCAATCTGAATATGACTTCTAGCCAAGTCGTGAATGTCTTTCATCTTCGCCTATAGTTGGTCAACATAATTTTCACCTGCGACATATTCTTCATGGGGTTTACGCCCAAACTCGAGGTCACATGGAAGGCGTAGTTCACGACCCAACATAAGGCAGGCAGGAGTCTGACCCGTGGTCTCGTTGACGGCTGATCGATATGCCATAAGGAACAGGTGGAGGTACTGGTCCAAATTTTTCTGATGTTCTGCCACGACTTTTGAAAGATATTTACCCATCGTTCGATTCATTCTCTCCACCATTCCATCTGACTGAGGATGCAAAGGTGTCGTTCTGGTTTTATTGGCTCCTACCAATCGACAAACATCTTGGAACAAAGCCGATTCAAAGTTCCTTCCTTGGTCTGAATGGATTTCTATAGGAACACCAAAACGTGTAAAGAACTCCTTTACCAACACTTCTGCAACTGTTGCTCCCTCTTGGTTTGGAATGGCGTAAGCTTCAGTCCACTTTGTGAAATAATCCATAGCGACTAGGATATATTTATTTCCGCCATCTGTCTCGGGAAACGGTCCTGCGATATCGATAGCAACTCGATCTATCGGACTACCAACGTTATACTGCCTCATGGGTGCCTTCTTCTTGGAAAATGGTCCGTTTCCAGTAGCACATAACTCACATTTTTGACACCATCGCCGGACATCTTCTTTACGGTTGACCCAATAGAATCGCTCACGTACCCTTTGCAACGTTTTCGTAATACCAAAGTGTTCTCCGGAAGCGCCGTCATGCAATTTTCGCAATACTTCCGACACTTTGCTTCTAGGTACTACTAATTGCAGCGTCGATTCGGTGCCATCTTCACTTTCAAGGGTCCTATACAACAGGTTGTCTTTCAGAGTCAGGCTATTCCATTTGCCCCAATAACTCTTTACTTCAGGACTTGTGGCACTAATGTCTTGCCAGTCTGGTCTTTGTCCGTGGCGCATCCAATTCAGAACAGTTTTTATACTTGGGTGGTTTTCTTGGGCCGTTTTGATTTCGCTTGGCTTCCATTCCTCACTCTCTACAGTTGTTCGTCGCAGATGGCCAATCTTGTCTTCTATTTTAGAACAATGTGTGCAGTTGTCCTTGCACGGTTTTCTTGACAAAGCGTCTGCATTATTGTGAACTTTTCCAGACGACGTAATGTTTACAGTGAAGATCGGGGCTTTGCTTCTGCAGGTTGACGATAGCCCTTTCCTGTCGACCTTTCTTAGTTTTCCGGCTGCTGCAATGGTTTTTGGCAGTTGCGGCGAACGTGTCCAATCTCGCCGTGGTTCACGTTTCTTTGCCAGTGACTGTATTGCTTTATTGATCTTTTCTTCCACTACTTTACTGACCTTTTCTTCCACTTCTTTACTGACCTTTTCTTCCACTACTTTACTGACCTTTTCTTCAAAACTTTCAGAGCCACCTTCCTCTTCGATTGTTCTTACCCGGCTGTCACTGCGAGGTTCCACCATACGTACTCGCGCACTTCCATGACTAGCTTTCTTGGCGGCTTCGAATTCTAACGCATGGGCCAAAGCTTTCTCAATTTTGTCGTGCCTAGCCAGTCTCAAAGCCTGCTGGGGATCTCCATCACGAACGGCATCGATAAATGTTTGTACAGCCAGTTGATCAAGAAAGCTCTCCGGTGCCGTAGGGTATGCCAATCGAATCAGTCTAGCGATGTCCGCTTCAAGTTCCTGCAAACTTCCTCCAGGTTTCTGCATTCAGTTCTTGACTTGGGCATAGTAAACTTGCTGAAGGTGTTTATCGCCATATCGCATTTCGAGTCGCGCTACTATTTGTTGGAAGTTCTGTTGATCCTCGGGGATGGTCCGCAACACATCCAGAGCATTCCCTCTCAGAGCAAGAATCAGGGCTGTAGTTTTGTCTTGAAGAGTCCATTTATTTGCCGCAGCCGCTGCTTCAAACTGTCGAACGTACGTGGTCCAAGGAATCTTACCATCAAAAGTAGGTGGCTTTACTCGCGCTTGCTGAACGTCCCCTTCTACTCTTGTTATTTGTTTCTGGGTCGACCTTCTTGTAATGAGTAGGCTGTGGCACCTCAAGAAGACGGTCCATCAGTAATTCATCTGGGGCACTACTAGTACGCTCTTCCGTAGTCAGTCGCAAGAATTGCTCGCGCAGCTTTATACTTGTGCTCAATCTCAACGAATGTTGCTTTAAATGTTTTGGAAACTTCCGTAATTCTATCTTCAACTTTTTCTTCAATTGATTTAGAGACTTCTTCGATAATCTTTCTAGAATTTTCCTCCATCTTCTCGAACTTCTGTTGAATATTTCTAGAATTTTCTTTATTAATCTTTCTAGAATTTTCTTCCATTTTCTCGAACTTCTCTTCAAATTTCTAGAATTTTCTTCCATCTTCTCTTCAAAATTTCTAGCATTTTCTTCCATCTTCTCTTGGTTGCTTTTCATTTCTTGTTGCAACACCTGTTGGCCATTTTGGATTTGCTGGAGCAAATTGAGCATCGTTTCTTCCATTTTAGCGGCAGCAGATCTTGTTACAGGCATACACAAGCAGAAGCACTTAATTTAATCTTACTTTTAATTAATTTAATTAATCCCACACCTGACACCAATGTAACGTGATTTATAAATTCGGGTTCGATTTATATCAATATTTATTAAACAAAACTAAAACACTATAAAAACTGTACAATTTATATCGATTATTTATATCACACACTTCGCAATTTATATTTCCGCGCTCGATGTTTCGTCCGTACTCGATCTCGTTCGGTCCGCAACTATTTATACACGCAAGCAATGTAAGTCCAGAACATTCGCGTAATTACCAGATACGTTGCAAACATTCCCACTATCGCGCGCCTAGAAAATTCCAGAGCGCCAAAAGCGACGTCATGTCTGGAGCGTTTCCGTTACAATATTAAAAATTTAAAAATAAAATTTCTTATAGATTGTGGCCTGTAGAATTTCAAACAGTTCCAAGATTGGGCTATTAGTTCAAAAGTTTCAGCCCTTTGAATTTTCTTTCGAAATTGGTTTCTAGTCCATAACTTTATATTGAGAAGTCTAATCGAAAAAGTACGAATTGTTTTGGATTCTACGCACCAAAATTAATAAGAAAAAGTGTTTTCCCGAGAAATTTTGGTGTAGTCGATTTTTGGTAAAAAAGGGATACTTATTCAAATACTATGCGAAGTATTCGAATACTTTACGAAGTATTCGAAAACTAAATATTTGTGAAAGTATTTGAGTTACAAATACAAATACTGCTTCCATAAAAGTATTTAATTACAAAGTATTTGAATACTTTCAAGGATTTGAGTACTAAAAAGTATTTACAAAATCGAATACTGCCCAGCTCTGCCTTGCATAAATATCCGTTGGCAAAGAAGCGTTAGAAACTAATTTGAGTAATGAATCACAAGTCTGCCTCTGAATAAATCAACTCGGAGTTTACAGGAAGCAACTATTAGTTAAACCCCCAAGTCGAATTTAATTACAAAGGTAATGTGAATGAAATTTGATTAAATCAAAGTTTGGAGAAACTTTCCGGTTTAAAGTTGTTGTTGTAATCATGTAATCCGAGTTCTCCCCTTACCTTTTCCATTTTGGATAGGTGCAAGGCGTATTTGTCGTGCGCGCGAAACTGCATAAACCTCATATTTGACGATTGCGAAAGTTCGGTTATGCTTCTGATGCTCGGGAAGAATCTGAAATCAGAATTGTCATTATCGGAACGAGCGACAAAGGCAAATTCCACCACAAATTTATGCGGTTGTTTTGATTTGCATTGCATGCGGATGTCGTAATTAATCGTCGATTATATTGATATTGGAAGTGGATTCTATGAATAAATTACACATCAAACTCAAACTAGGAATGAATGAATTATTAGAGAGATGCATAATGCTTCATTGATTTGATTAAACGCTGCATTAAAATCGATAGATTTCGTTTTTTTGTTAAGATTGAAGGGCTACAGAAATTGAAAACATTTTTTCATTGCAATTTAAACGTTACACTACGAAATTGATTTGAATTTAATACAACATCTTATGCGATTCCGTACGCTATTTCAATTTAAAACCTGTTTAGTTAGAATTGCTTTTCATTCATCTGTTAGTCATAGGCTCATACGAATTGGGTGAAATTTCAATTTTGACTAAGACTTGAACCAAAGAAATACGTGTTTCCGTTCATAGGGTGGAGGTAAAACGTAATTAGAACTGCTGCTGCTATTTAAACAATTATCAAATCCAATCAAAGGATGTATCTATTTCCATTGTTATTTTAAAAAATGATAATTTCTTCACTATGCCATTTTCTGCTGCATATAAATATTATCAAAGCGCTTCTTCTTTCATCTTTTCACTTCTCTTTCGAAGTACTTGGTAAACATGGAAACCAGGAGAAATCAATAAGGAAACGCGAAAAAATTAGCCTAGGTTTGCTTCGTTTGCGCTCGTGCTCATCTGCTTTGAATGCTTATTCTACCTCGGTCAATTCTTCGCGATTCTTTCTGAAGATTCATTTGAAGATCTTCCATGTGCGTGTGGTTGAACGGAATAAATCGAACTTGTGGAAGTCAAAAGATTGTACTGTCACCATTTGTCCCGCGTAGCGTTCCGGGAGAAAAAGTGACACTTTAGTCCCTTAAATTAATGACAGAAGACGTTGATTTAGTCCAAGGAGTATAAAAAGACCTGAGGCTCAGTCGAGGTGCATTATGGCTGTATTGAATGCAGTCGTAGACCAGATGGAGGGAGGGCCCTTTCCTCGGCTGGCAGGGTTCCGCTGGAATCCGCAGGGTGCCATCGTGGCCGAATGCGAGGACCAGTGGACCTTGGACTGACTCCGGCTGCGCAAGGTAAGGGAGAGAGCTCCACCGAAGCAGCGGGACCTAGTTCCGTTGCGACGGAGGGGGCTCAACCTCGCGGTGTTGATCTCGAAGAGGCGGCGGGATTGCTCCCGGCACCCGAAGAGATCGAGAAAGATGTCAGCGAGCTTTTGGCTCGTGTGGCGGTTCTTGGCTCCGACCAGGGGTCGGAACCGTCGGCATCGCTAAAGGAGGAGGGAACCTAGTACATCAGTGATGGACAAAGTAACCTTCTTACAGAGCAATTTGCAGCACAGTAAGGGGGCGACCTGTCTAATAGGTCGTCAACTTGCTGTAAAGCAGACAGGCGTATGCCTCATACAAGAACCTTGGGTTTACAAGGGACGAGTAAGAGGTCTGGGCCAGGTGGAGGACTCTCTTTATTATAAGAGGGACAGCCAACTGAACCCGAGGACTTGCATTTATGTCGATAGACGAATCGAGTCTTATCTAATGGCTGATTTTTGTTTCAGGGATCTCGTAGCTCTACGACTTCAGCTGAAAGATGACAGAGGACGGGGCAGGCACTTGGTGGTCTGCTCCGCCTATCTCCCGTACGACTCAGAAGGGGCTCCACCAACCAAGGAGCTGGCTGAGTTGATAGAGTACTGTCGAAGTAATGGGCTCCCTCTTGTGGTTGGCTGTGATGCAAACGCACACCATGTTGTGTGGGGCAGCACGGACACGAACTCGAGGGGCGACCACCTTCTGGAGTACTTGCAAACAACTGATTTGAATGTTTTAAATCAGGGAGCAGCCCCTACCTTCGTCACAGCGCGGAGGCAGGAGGTCATTGATCTGACGCTGGGCTCCTTTTCAATAGCTCACATGATCACGAATTGGAGAGTGTCTGATGAGCCGTCGCTTTCGGACCACAGGCACATTCTTTTCCAACTGAACCTGGCATTGCACTGCGGGCCCTGTAGGTTTCGGAATCCCCGATCCACTGACTGGGACTGCTATGTGGCAAAACTGTCGGACCGGTTGGATAGACCACCTTTGCTCTGTCGGAAAGCAGGGCAGGTGGAAGAGGCGGCCGCATTAGTAAGCGACGCCATAACAGCGTCCTATGAGGACAGCTGTAAACTGCGTACCTTTCGAGGAAAGAAGAGAACACCTTGGTGGAACTCAGACCTTGAAAAGGCTCGTAAGGAGGTTCGCAGGCTCTTTAATAGGGCCATGCGAACTAAGTTACCTGCGGACTGGGAAGATCTTAAGATCTCCCAGCGCAGGTATAAGGACCATATTCGGAGGTCGAAACGAGGATCTTGGAGGACTTTCTGTGGTAACATGGAAGGTCTTCCTGAAGTTCAAAAACTTCGTAAAATCCTTTTGAAGGACCCGGGGCAAAAGGTGGGGACACTGAGGCTTCCATGCGGCAGATATACGTCTACCGCGGGTGAGGCACTCACATGTCTCCTGGAAACACACTTTCCAGGCTCTGGGGACTACTTAACTTCGGACCCACCAAAAGGAGCTACTCGGGTCGGTGTAAGGCCGATCAACTGGAAGGTAGCTTCCCGGGTGGTTACCGAGGGATCTCTGAGATGGGCGGTCAACACGTTCAGCCCATTTAAGAGTGCAGGGCCGGATGGGATATTCCCGGCTCTTCTACAGAAGGGCCTGGATCCACTGCTCTTACACTTGTTGCATCTCTTCAGAGCGTCTCTGGCTTTAGGGTATATCCCTGAAAGCTGGAGGAAGGTAAGAGTTGTGTACCTACCTAAGCCGGGTCGTGCTAAATATGCCGTGGCGAAGGACTATAGGCCCATCAGCCTATCATCGTTTCTTCTAAAAACGGCGGAGAATCTGGTGGATGCATACATAAGGAATGGCGTACTGGTTAGTAGACCACTACATCCGTTCCAACATGCTTACAGGGCTGGTATGTCCACGGAGACGGCTCTACACAGCCTGGTGTGCAGGCTGGAAAAGGGAATGTCTTCCGGGGGGATAGCTCTGGGAGCGTTTTTAGATATCGAGGGTGCGTTTAACAACACCACGTTCGATTCGATTAGTGAGGCTGCTGAGAGCTTTGGTATTGATGGGTCGATCGTAAGATGGATCCGAGCCATGCTCGAAAGCAGAATCATTATATCCTCAATTGGGATGACGGAGATGAGCTCATCGGTTACTAGAGGATGTCCGCAGGGTGGGGTATTGTCTCCACTGCTGTGGTGCCTGGTACTAGACGGGCTCCTCCGCACCTTGAACGAGGGGGGAGCGTATACACAGGGTTACGCGGACGATCTCGCGATCGTCATAACTGGGAAGTTTCCAAACACCGTGAAAGAGCTCATGCAGGGGGCTCTTGAACAGGTGGATAGGTGGTGCAGTAGCCATGGCCTTTCCGTTAACCCGGAAAAGACCGAGGTTGTTTCATTCACGAATAGAAGGAGAGCGGATCTTACTGGGCTCGCTCTTCGAGGACATCAACTGGGTCTGACCAGGTCAGTGAAATACCTGGGAGTCATCATTGACTCCCGCCTGACCTGGAAAGGGCACATTGAGCGCATAAGCAAAAAGGCCACTGCATGTCTATGGGCATGCAGAAGGGCTTTTGGTTGTACATGGGGCTTGAACCCTCGACTGGTATACTGGCTTTACACTGCAGTGATAAGGCCAATAATACTGTATGGTGCACTTGTATGGTGGCCTGCCATGCGCAGGGTAACCTACAGGAAGCAGCTAGGAAAGGTCCAGCGACTCGCCTGTCTGGGAGTCACTGGAGCCCTAAAAACCACGCCAACCTTGGCCATGGAGGCACTTCTGGGACTAGAGCCTTTACACTTAGCTGTGGAGGCAGAGGCTCGGAAAGCTTCCATACGGCTAAACGATTGGGATGAATGGAAGGATCGAGGCAGCCTTGGGCACGGGCGGATCTGGGAGGAAACCCTCAGAACCGATCCCCTCCTCGCAAGGAGGGACGTGATCCGGGCTATCTTGCTAAGACCAAAGCGTTATAAAGTCATTCTCCCGGATAGGGAGCAGTGGCTGAACTCGGATTGCCCGTTCCTCAAACCTGAGGGGCTCGTGTGGTTTACAGACGGGTCCCAAACAGAAAGGGGAACGGGCATGGGTATATATGGTGATCGACCGAGAGCCAGCGTCAGCGTCTCCCTTGGTCAGCATAGCACCGTGTTTCAGGCAGAGATGTTAGCCATCATGACCTGTGCACAGGAAAACCTCCGTAGAGGTTACCGCAATAAGCATATATATACCTACATATGCAGCGATAGTCAGGCGGCGTTGAGGGCCCTGTCGGTAGACAGGTTCCGATCAGCTACGGCGCTTGATTGCAGGCGAACCCTAGATAGATTAGGTGAGTCTAATAGGGTAAGCTTGATTTGGGTGCCAGCGCACTGCGGAATAGGGGGCAACGAAAGGGCGGACGAGTTGGCTCGCGAAGGCAGTGGTGGGGTCTTCGTCGGGCCCGAGCCTACCCTAGGGATTGCTCCCTCCGTTGTTAGGGCCAGGATTAAAGATTGGTTGACCAGTCAATTCCAGGCTCAGTGGCAACAAGTAACCGGACTCCGACAGTCCAAGGCCTTTCTAACAGGGCCCCTTGGCAAATCGGAGTCTTCTAAGCTTCTAAAACTGAATAGAAGCCAGCTTGGGAAGATCACTGGTGTCCTTATGGGACACTGGATGGTCAACTATCACCTGCATAACATTGGGCTCGCGGAGTAGTCAACGTGCAGGTTCTGTGGCGAGGCAGATGAAACTACCGAGCATGTGGTCTGTCACTGTGACGCTTTGATCAGGGACAGATATCAACTCCTTGGAGACAGATACCTGGAACCGAGGATGGTGAAGCAACTTAGGCTAAACAGGGTCCTATCCTTCATTGATAGGAACGGGCTCTGAACTCAGTTGCGAAGAAAGGGGGTAGGCACAATGGGCCTCTGGTGTGCCTAAGTGCTGCCCGGTCGGGCTCCCCTGCGAATAGAATAGAATAGAACATCTACTACAGTTTGAATAACTGCACAATGACCACAGAGTTCAGTTTCGAAAGTTATTAACGTGGGTTTACGCTATTGAAGCACATACACTGGTAGCGTGGAGAAATCTAACCAAAACTTTCACATTCAGAAAGTTTGCACTCTCATTAAGGGAGGTCAATAACTCCACTACCCGCTTGCAAACAAAACGCGATTGGCAATTCATAATCTGCACTTACTTGAACATCGTCTGCACGGCAACGATCGTGTTACAATCGGCAAGCGTGTCCTCCTCCGCCGAATTCGACAGTTCCTTATTCACGACGACGACGTTATCGGCCAATGTGATCCCCGCACGCAGAAGATCGTCCAAACTGAAAGCAAACCTTCAAACGCGAGCCGATCTGCAAAGAGAAACTTACCAGTCTATCGATCCGAGCATCCAGTAGACGAGCGGAAAGTACGAGACCGCGTCCAGGAAGGCTATGTCCGGCCGCCGCTCCAAAAGCAAGATGATCGGATGCAGGGAGGTCTTCGAACGGAAGTGCGCCCTCAGCGGTATTATGAAATTGTAAATTCCGTTCGACGCGTAGTCCGCCGCCAGGATTATCGTCTTGTTTTGCCACTGGTAGTCGCGCGCGTTGCGGTAACTGCAATGCTCGCAGACTTGCGCCAGCTGGAGGCAGCAAAGCGGCTTCTTCTCCTTCAATAGATAGCACAATGTCGGACTGACGCCGATGTACGGCGAGACCGGTGGAAAACCTTTCACAATTCTGCACACACACATCAAAGATTAGTAATTCGGTTCACGAGTACGATCGCGTACTGTTACATTGCTGTGACGTTACATTTACGTAAACGTGGTTACCCGGGTGTTCCGTAACGTATACGTATACGGCTTTTAGCCACGCCATTACAAATTTCTAGCTTGACAGATTACGGGACCTGTCCGATTTGCAATCATATGATTGCCTTGCCACTTTTGCCTTTAGCGGAGCGTGACTCATTTAGATTTCCCTTTGGGAACCAATTATTGCTTCGAGAATGCAGAAGGAACCGAGGAAGCCCGAGAAAGCAAGAAAATCTAAGAAGTTTGAGAAGATCCGAAAGAGCATAGAAAACCGAGGAAATCGACAGATTGAAGAAGATCTGGAATTCAAGCAGAAGCAAAAGAATCAGAAGAAGTCCAATAAACCGAGAAATCATTAGGAAGCGATGATGACAATGCACAACATGTTGGTAAGATGGACGAAGCCAAAAGAGGAAGTGGGAAGGATGAGTAAAAGAAGAAAAGCAGGACGAGAACGGATGAACCGGACAGGAAAAAGGAAGCTAGTAGGGCGAGGAAATTGTGAAAGATCGGGAAGCAGTTTAAAGAATAAGAAAGGGAACAAACAGGGGATATCGAGAATCCGAGAAAATTGAAAATGCTGATAATGTAGACGAAATTGAAGAATTGGTATAAATCGAAAGTAAGGGAAGACAAAGAAGGAAGTTTATGAAGAGTTATTGACTCAACGGAAAAGTCCAAAGAAATCGGGAAAATTGAGGGAGGTTCGGAAGTTTCTTAAGGTGTCGATCGAGCATAGAAATGCGAGTAAACCGAGGATAATGTAATAGTCGAAATCGACAAAAAGTGAGGAATTTGGAGAAACCCATTTCGAAGAAACTGGAGAAGAGAGAATATGAAAGGAAGATGAAGAGGTAGTCGGTAAAATTCAACGTAGAAAGGAACGCGCCCACGATGAGCCAACGTAAAAAATCAAGGAGCAAGTTCCGGAAATTTGGGAAAAGCTCTACAAGAGAAATGAATTAAAAAGTAATTTACCATAAATCCTTACTCGACTGTTCCGTAATTACGTGAATTACACTTAAATTAATGTGCAATCGTTATTGTTACGTTTAGAAATACGATCGTAATTACTCAAGAGGAGGTGACATTTTAATGTTATTGAAATGTGCTTACTACGTGCGACTAACATTGCTGTTAGTATTAATCTAACAATGATAATAAATGATGATGTGAAGCATGCATAATTTCGTTATTTACAATTATTCCTTCGAATCGTTACCGGGTGATCTATTTCGACCATAATTTAGTAGTCGGCATGACCTATACGAAGAGTAGTTAAGTTTAAAATACAATGAAATAGTGCAGTGGGATTAGAAACGTAAAATAATTTCAAACAAAATCGAAGGGAGAACCTTTTCGTGTTGAAAATGTTTCTAACGATTACCGATTTCCATTTTGCGCGTCAAAAGTGAAGAGGTAGCTCCCTCCTAAATTACGCTGAAAGTACCCCTACTTGTTGGTTGTTAGCTTTCTAACGCAATAAAATAAATTTTATTCTATTCTTCGTGAAAGGTGACGGGAACAAGCGTTGAACCTGTTTCCTGTTTTCTGCTCTGTTCGTTTCGGTGTTACTTGTTTGAATCTGGATGCTATTTTGATACTAGCCATTGTTTTTTGTCTAATCTTTAGCTAACTGTACCGAATATTCTAGAAATACAGATAGATAAAGAGGCGCTATGAAAGATTAGTCATCGGATATAAAGAACGAAGGCGGATGTGTCGTAATTTTTCCGGGAAATATGATGTGTTTTGTTGTAGAATGTTCGACAACAGTCGGGAGCATTCGAGAACACTCGAACAAGCCATAGCTCGGCTCGTATTGATAATATCAATCATTAAAAACCAATTTCTGTTTTTTTAAAACCCAGATTTCGTTTAATAAAATGCATTCTTTTCGAATAACGAATGAAAAACATTGATCTTTTCTATGAAAAACTGATACTCACAATATGGTGTTTTTTTTACCACCTTGACGTATTTTCCGTCTAAAATGCCCGATTCTTACAGTTCAAGGATCTAGGCCCACGTTTTTGGGGCCAAAAAACACGACGGAAGGGTCAAAAATGAGACCGTTCTCATAATGTTCATAGTTTAGTACATCCGAAGTGAATTTAAGGCACCGAAGATGGCGGCTTACGTACTACAGGATCGATGAAGAATAAACTCATCCACCACTCGCCTCATAGGTCACCGTAAACATCAGTATAGGTTACAGGTGTGTATATTCCATTACAAGGTAATCACCGAACAACTCACAGCCTGGTCACAAGTTCACAGTAAGCTCGAAATATGCACAAAAAAATACGATTGCCACCTTAAAATTGGAACCTGCGAACCTCCCATAAATCAAAGATTAGGAGCTACCGTTACACTATTGCATGAGACCCCTCCTTGCTGAAGGGTACTGTCGTGTGTTTCCCAAGGGCACATATATCTTGCGATCTGCATATTAATTGTTAGTGAATTTCACTCCAGCAATTAAACCTCCTGTAAGCTGCTTCGGTCGGCTTGGAACGTTTGTACTCGACCAGAATTCTGACATGTCGTCCCTTGCAATTGCTTCACGGCATCGAATTTTAATAGATTTATTGCTTGTAGTTCTAGTAACATACACTTCGGAATCGTAGAAAGCTACTCTCTTTCCCTCCTTGTTTTCTATATTAAACATCACAATTATTGCGATTGAATTACACCACCATGTTGAAAATTCCATGCACCCGCCATCTTGACGTACCTAGTTGTCCATCTGACAGTGACGTATGCAGATCGCATTTTACGGAACGTCAACGTCACGCCACGGACTAGCAACGTCACTTCAAAATATTGTATTATAGATTTCTTATGATAACATTCACATATAGACGTAACGGAACGCATCGTCGAGATAAGTTTCAAACATTTCTTTGACGTGACGCTAATGCCAATGTTCTTCTATTCAATCTGAGCATGATAAGAACAGATGGTCCAATCAATCAATCGCAACCATCCTAGAAACTATTGACGTAAAGTGTGAATTGGCAGTAAGATTTACGTGACGTTGCCGGTCCGTCACGTGACGTTGTCGGTTCGTCACGTGACGTTGACGTTCCGTAAAATGCGAATGCACCTTTATATTATACTCCCGAGATTGACTTATTACTTCTGCATTTAACTGCAAGTATTACCGATTTCCTTCTGAAGATTACTGTTAACCGTTAAATTGCTCCGATAAAACCTTCGACACTGAAGTTTACCATTTTATGTACTTAGCTAGATTTCAAATCTACATTACTTACGATGAGTGCACTTTTGCTATATGCAATTAGTCTCATCTTTCACAAAAACGATACAGGCGTACCCTTCCTTACAAATGTTATGCATATGAATTACGTACGAGAGTTATTAGTACTAATTACTGAAGGTACCTTCTTGTCTTAAGGGTTAGAATATGTTTGGTTATTATTTAGACTTAGGGGTGTTGAACGCTATGGAATGTGAATTTGCGTTGCCACAGATCTACACATACACAGATTGCTAACCTTATGCATTTTTTAGGAAACAAATTTAGGTATACTTAAAAGCGCCCTCTATTACGGAGCAGTACAAACATGTACCGTTTAAAACTGTAATATGACGCTTATGGATTTATGCATTAGATGTCGCTGCAAAAATGTAGTAAAGCGGTAGTGTGCATAATTCGAATTCGTTATTCGTTATTTTTGGCATTTGATATTTGTAATCGGTGAATTTATTTTGTGATTTGTTTATAGACACACGTATTCAAGAGATCATATATGTATACCTACATACGTATTCCAAATCTTATCGGCGTGATAACGTTAATTATGGCAGAGATATACATAGTCTTTAAGTATGCCTTTGCGGTTAGCAATCTGTCAAGACCTTTAAAGCTGCAAATAATTTCCGCCAACTTCAAAAAACCTTCATGATTCTTTAAGAACATGCCCTATGTTCGTGTGTATCTGTGACCACAGGTATCCGCTTTTAATAACTCCTTTACGACGAATGCTGCAGTGTTAAATTAAACAATTATGGCTCGGCGTACCTCCTATAATATTATATCAATGTAATAATACGAATATTAAGGAATTCGAATTGTGCAAACTTTAGCTTTTTAATTTTGTTTCAGCGACATCTAACGCATAAATCTATAAGCGTCATATTACAGTTTTAAACGATACATGTTTATACTACTCCACAATAGAGGGCGCCTTTAAGTATACCTAAATACAGTGACTTTATAGAGACAGTGGCGACAATAGGAGTTCGGCCGCCATTTTGCGTCAAAAAGTTGGCAACACACAATACACGTAGGTATGTGTGGCGTACACCGCAATATCATATTAGGGAGCAGTCAAATTACCGGCGCTGCGCGCGGTGGTTGCGTTACACATATTGCAAACGACTATTTTCTAAACGTTTTATTAGTACAATTAGCGATATAAAAACTGTAAATATGAATATGGTTGTCTCTAGTTTAGTCTCCGCCTGAGTGGATGGTCCAGATTCCATCAACTACTTTCTGAAAACCATCCTTTCAATTGAACGTCTTACTCTGCCTCGTCAACATAATCTCTTCGCTGAATCCAACCCATAGAAATTGCTCGATGGGCTATTGCACTGCGAGTCGCATATGGTATCGCGTTTCACAACAGTATCCTCAATTTCTGCCACATTGTCACACATATTAGGTTCCGCCACATTCGTTTTCAGCTATTTTTTCTGTCCTGTCCTCCAATGCTAATTGCACGCGGAAATACAATTAGGTACTGAATTCACGGCCATTGAAACACAAATTTTTCATCGTCTGCCTCTGGCATTTGACTGCAGAAGTCGCTAATGTCAGGCTGTCATCTGTCATGATACTAATTTTTGTAGGAATATCATGGCACCTGTACTTCAAATGTGTCAACCAGTGACGTTTATAGAAGCGCGGGAATGCGCGTGAGCATATCTATTACCGGAAACACGTGAAATTTGACGCAAAATGGCGGCCGATCTCAACGACCAATCAAAAATTAGACACTCTATTGTCGCCACTGTCTCTATAAAGTCACTGTATACCTAAATAAAGTCACTAAATATAGAAAGTACCGCAATCCATTGGGCCCGTGTGTTAGAGAGAGAACGCATAATTTTTGCCCAAAAATAGCGGAAGTTACCAGATTCTAGTAACTGTAATGTTAGGGATTGTTCCACCTGTTTGGAGATATCTGTATATATTTTTATAAAACATGACATTACTATGAAGTTAGGTTATAAAAAATGACAACTGTTCAGATTTTAATTGTCAATTTTTTTAAGTTGGCAGCAAATTTGCCCAAAAATGGCGGATGATTGCGGTACTTTCTATATCTAGTGACTTTATACTAAATTTGTTTCCCAAAAAATGCATAAGGTTAGCAATCTGTGTATGTGTAGATCTGTGGTACTGCTATCCCCATTGGCATTAATTGGGACAGGCTAATGGACCCGACGACGTTGGAGGTCTCCTATCTCGCAGGAGGTTCTTCGGGCACACCTTTATTCATACCTGTAGCATGCTGTCTTGGTAAGGCGTTGTCTTTATCTCCCAATAGCTACGTTTCGGCCCGCTTGACGGTGTGACGCTCCTTATCGCATGGGAGAATACGTTTCGGTCCGGTCGAGGTGATTTGTTTGTGCCGGCTGGGCGTCTAGACACGTTGGGAGGCCCCCCAGTATGATTTTACATGGAGTCGGTCTGGGTTCGTGTGCGAGTCGGCAGATCAGTGTAAGTGCCCCGTGTCTGGGCCGTAAGAGCCCCCGCCGCGTTGGAAGACTCCTGTATAGCGTCGTCAATTGTCGATGGTGGGATATGTGGTCTTACACCTAGATGTACAGTGCGTCTCTATGGAGGAGATTGTTCCAGGGATACCATCACATGTAAGAATTTTGTTGATTCGCCAAATTATTTACTTCCGGGGTAGGTTGTGTGGTTGGTGATATCGTTGGAGGGGTCACCAATTAACTCACATATTCAAACATTAGAACGCTTAATTAATTTGACACAGGACTGGCGTTATAACCTGCATCAAATGAGCAATGTGCAGTTTGTAGTTAATGAAACATTCCGAGAAAATTGGATCACTTGTACTTCTCACTAAATTATTCACACAGACGTCATTTACTGTAATGCGTAATGTAATTAGGCAATTTAGTGAGTAGGTCAACTCGGTCGTAAACCCAAATTACAAAACATTAATGAAATTAGAGCGATCATTAAAAAGCGCGATTACATTTTAATCAATTTACGGCAGCAATGTAACAGTTAAACTCTATGAAAGAGACACTAAGCTGCACTGGCAAAAGGACTTACCGAGCACAATCACCATGCCATGCGGGTCGGGTGCTGTCACCAGAATCGTCTGTAAAACTGGACCTGGGAAGTGCAAGGGGTTGGAGAGAATGTACAAAGACGGTTGATAGGTGCATGTCATGACCACAGAAGATTGGATAGAGACATATGCGAGAAGAAAGAAAAAATAATGACAGAAAAGAAAAGACCTAGAAGCATTCAATAGGGCTACTAATATTAGATCTAATCTTAAGATGCATGCTTCATTGTAAAGATCTAAAGGGAGACTTACGCTATTTTCTCACTGGGCGATCTCCACGGGACATCGTCGTCGAGTTCGTCTTCGCTTTCGTCACCTTCGTCGGCAGTATCCTGCGATATGTTGAGGGAGGATCCCGTGATCATGTCGGGCACGGGCAGTATGCTCGGCCTGCGCGAGTTCCTTCTTTGATTGATCATCTCTGGGCTGAGAAAATTGGTACTCTCTGCAGCCTTAGGCACGTCCAAGTGGTTACCTGTTACCGCTAAATCTAACGTTACTGATCCCGGGGATGAGTCTTTTAGGCACTGACGTGAATCCATTGCGCCGCTTCCATTATCGGGAAAGGTAGCTGTTCAGAAAAAGTGAGTTAGTGACAATTTTCGACATGAAAAAATCTATGGTATTTCCATTTATGTGCAATACATGAAAAGCGGCTACGTCAATTGCATTACGATGAGTATTTGTCAGACCAACATCGATCAGGACCGCGTCGTGTACGTCCAAAAGCCAAGCGTTCCGGAACTGTTGTCTCTCATGGATATACACAGCTTATGCAATGCAGAGAACCCGCAGTTGGGGGAAAGCGCTGCGTACCTCCATGATAAATAGCAACATGCGCGACAACACTCACTGACACATGTAGGGACTTGCAGAATGACTTGAGGAAGTCTGGTACCGTCTTTAGTGGTAGAAGCGTTTGATTTTTCCTCCGCCGTTACTATTACCGGCTCAGAAGACGCAGTATTGGTCGTCTGCTGATTGGCGACCGTAAATGACGAGTTCTCCTCCTTAGTTATACTCATGTAGTAGCAGGTGTCGCTCTTCTTCATAATGTGCCGCGGGCCCGGATTAAGCAAGATCGTATCCTCGTAGAATTCGGGCAGTTCGGCCGGCCTCACGCCGACCAGCGCCACCCCGTACCTACAAATTCGCCACGCTCGCGCTCGCCCAAAATCTCGCGCGCCATACTCACTTTCGATGCGAGTGAAAACTCGCGTACGTGAAACTTTTCCCCTCGTACTCGCCGAAGAATCTGCTATCCCCGAGGACGATGTGATAAATTTCGTTGCCCGAACAGCGTCCGTAAAGTCGATGCCACTCCTCCTGCGACTGCTGGCCCTCCCTAGAAAAATGCCCTTTAACGTCGAGTGCCACTTTAATTTCGCGCCTGAATGTACGTACTGCCCTCGAGAGGTATGCAGAAGTAGAGTGACGAGCGTCGACGCTCCGGGACAAGTGCAATTGTTCGCGAGCAGGGCGTACTTGAACTCGTCCTCGCAGACGACGTACTCGGCGAACTTCACGTGCAGCTTATTTTCCGGCCTAAATATTTGTACGTATTGAGCTACATTTGGAGCGAAGTCTTTCACAGCCCACGACCGTAGAATTGTGTGCTCATCCTGAGAGAAAAATCAATGATTTTAATTCTCGTCTTATGCACTTTCAAAGTGAGAAAAGTTTCTGCTAGCAGCCGGAAAAATTGGAAAATCCGAAAGGGCTTAACTTACCGCGGCAGTCTTATCGGCATAATTTCGTGCCGCAAGCACGAAGCACGCCTCCGCCTCGTTCATTCTCGCCCTAGCCAAGTCGCCGTCCTTCAGACACGAACCCTGTATATAGATTACCCTTTGCGCCCAAATCGGAACCTGCAGAATCATCCTCATCGTCGTGTCCAATTCCATCGGCGACAGTAAAACGACGTAATAATCCTGCAGGAGCGGGTGGGCGTAGAACTCGTTTAGAAAGTCCATAATTGTGTCCGCGTGCAGCGTTGTGCTGCACACGACCACGTGCTTCTCCGAGTGCGCCCTGTGGGACGAATACGAACCGCCCAGTTTCTGTCGTTCCATCCACGTGAACGCCAATTGCTCGAACTGCGAAATGGGCTTTGTCATTAAAGTGAACCCGCCTGATTAGGTCACCTGAGTCGGCAGGACGATGAGCGCAACGCATATCATGATGACCATAAATAGTTGCGAGGGCCAAATGTCCGGTACGAAGTCTCCGTAGCCGACGGTGGAGAAGGTCACGACCACGTAGTACGTCGATTGGAACAGGTTCAGTCGTCGATGGCCCGCCCTTTGAAAGTGCTGTATGCCGCATACGCTGCAAAAGAGACAACATCTTAGCGTTCACCCAGAAGATACATTTCTTTCAGAGTACAGAGAACATTCAGAAACCTACAAGCGTCGCCGTGTCTATAATAGTTTTTGCCATCGTTTAATTCTTATGAATTATAGACGTTACGTGCAAATATATCCCGCGTCCGTCCCGCTTCCCTTCGAGTTCTCACATTCCCGCTTCGGTTTGAGTGGACCTTCAATTAAAAAAACGTTAAGGGACGAATTATTATGCGTACAGCAAAATGAGCAAGTAAATATAGTAAATGCCAGAAATGTTAACACCCAATTTTTGCATTTCTTTATATCGTATTTGTGTTTTGTATGCCGCATTTTATATTTTTTGTGTGTTTCAATCTTTGATTTTGAAATTTACTTGATTTAACCGCAATACAGAATCACATATTTAATACCGTTATGCTATTGTTTGTAGTTTTTGGTGTAATGCTTACTTAATTTATGTTTATTGATGTTGATTACTTGGTCTTGTTCGTGAAGTAACATTCATATAAGTCTTAATAATTTTATTTTAATATGTGGAAATTACCGATTCGTTTGATATATGTACTGACTTGTTGTTTGTAACTAACAATTTTCTCCGTCAATGAAGCAGTCACGGGGGTGGTAAAAACTGTAGTCAAAATTGAGCTACAACACCTAATTCCGTGATTGTCTTCGACTTTCAACTGTAGGCTCGAAACCCCGAACGAGGGGCGACGCTACCTATCTTGCGGGGGCGAGATTACGCTAATCTTCAGTTTAGAATCTATGTGCGATAAATGAGTGGCGATTCAATAATTTCCACATATCTTGTTTTTAATTCAATTTGCCTACAAGGCCATGTAATTTTCCACCTTGCTTTTAACAAAAGGGCTTTATTGCACCAAAGATGAGTCAAATCCTGTGCATTTCACCCTTGCTTAGAATCTTGGTACCTGCATACCTGACCCATAATTCCCAAAACTTGTTTTTAACCTGTATGTTACCTCTTGAAGTTTACCTGCTACTTTTTGTGATGTTATAATTTTATGTTACGCATTCACATCATTACAAACAATTAATTTTACAACACAATTTGATATTAATTTGACGGTTGGTTTTTTTATTGGTAAGTTCTTTTTTTCCCAGCCTATTTCTATTTTTATTCGGCGAACTACCATTTTCAAAGTTTATTTTTGCAATGTAATTTATTTCGACTTAAATTTCCGAGCTTTCTTAGTCTTAGTCCAACCTTATTTAATCTCCATCTAAGAGACATGAACAAAGTATTAAAACAGGTCCAAGGTGGAGGGTTGCTAGTGGGAAGAAGAAAGATATGGTCCCTGGCAAATGCGGACGACGCAGTGATATGATCATGGTAGAATAGATGCCGGAAATGATGGGAACAATGGAAAACTATTGGGAAAAGAAAGGAATAAGGGCTAAATGTAGAAAAGCCGAAGGTGATGAGATTTTGGAAGGGGGTTGAAAGGAAGACAAACGGTAGTCCAAACATTTTTTTCACTACGCCACTTGATTCTACGTAAAAAATATCCAAAATGGCAGTTTTAACATCCCAAAAAGTCAAACTCTTCGTTTTTACCTTGTATCTCAGATACAAATGTAGACAGATCGATTCTGTTTGTGGTATTAAGTTTCAGAAAAAAAGTGGCACATTTCCCAAAAACCGCAAGTTATCTTTAAAAACAGCCGAGGTACAGTTGTAGTCTCAACAAAAATAGGACACACGGTACAAGGTAATGTGGCAAACCGTTAATACACATATAATAACCGCAAGAGGCCCCAAAACAGAGCCTTGGGGAACATCACCTGACAAAATACGTCGAAATTATACTGTACTATGTATGTTATAATTCGATAAATTGTGATCTATAGCTAGATAAAAGTGTTACCCCTAAGTTCATAGTGGGACAGTTTGTCATACAACAAAGAAATAATCTTTAAAAGTTCAGTGAAATTGATCACATGACACCCAGTAACAAATTTTATAACATTCAGTGGAATACGATCGTATCCATTAGCCGTTATAATCGATTCCACTTCAAAACGCGTAGTGGAACTAAAGAAATAAAGAGTTGTCATTAATTATTCTGTGGCAATAGCAATTTTCGATATGCATTATTAAGAGCTGAATCGAAAACGGCGAATGTAATTATTAAAACAACTTGGGATCTCTGAGCGTGTTGCCCTTACAAAATAGGTAACATTTGCCCGCACCTAATGTCTTTTGTTTGTATCAGTTTTAATTATGCCCCATACTGTATTCATAATATTAGACGAACTTTCGAGTTAGCTATAAATAAACAGACGTACTAAATCCTTCAATAAAGTTTGTAATAAAATTAGGTGTGGGAAATGACCGCAGTTGTTTTAGTTCAGGCTTAGCTTTCCTGGTTCTTTTTTAATGCCTCTCGCCATCCACCCCTTTTTATTCATTTTGGTACACATCTGCTTCACAGGAACACAATATTTCAAATGTATTTTTTTACTGAATATATACCTAGCATTGATCAGATTAAAATTCGTTTAAAATTCGAGCACCGAGCGACTTCCGGGATAGGACCGTATCATTGGTAAAAGTATTGTATACCTATATTGTAGCGAATATTCCAGAAATTCCGATAGATATTGGGCGCCGTGAAAGATTCATCATCGGCGATTAAGAACGAAGGCGAATGTGACTCCGTCTTTCCGGGAAATATGACGTGTGTGCTCAAGAAGATTCTAAAAGATTCGGGAGCGTTCGACAACTTTCGAGACATATGGGCCATTTGCTATATAAGCAAACGGAATTGTGCTTTAGTCAAGTCTAACATCGTTGCGAATTGAAGTTGTGCTGTCTTATAAATTATGAGTGATAAATAATAATTACTGTTATAATTTTATTGTTGATTACTTGTAAATAAATTTATCGCGTAATTAAATTTACCTTATAATATTTTATGTTTATTTTTGATTGTTATTTTGTTTCTTGTCCTTACTGAAGTGGACGAAACGTTGATTGATACGGTCCTATCTCGGAAGAGGAACACCACAATCCACAATCATCATACTCCTACTTCCGCCAATTGAAATGCAACACCAATAAGGAGCGTTTGAGGTGTCCCCTCGCTCACAGAAAATTACACGCAAAAGAAATCGTGAACCTGTATCCTTTGCGATCAGCGCTAAACACACGTGCGTCTTGAAATCAATTAACTTTCTCGATAACAACGTCCTTAAATTTTAAATGCACTCGACATGATGTTCCTTAACGCTTTCACAATTTAAATAAACAAATTCCCACGAATGATTAAATTTAAATAAGAAATTATGCAATGAAAACAATTTTAAAATGGAAAACCGAATTCTGATTAAATAAACCAATTCTGCGCTTATTTGTAATCAAATCCTCCAGATTTAAATTAAATTAAAACAACCGCACATACAGGATGGCCCTCTATCTTTGGTATTCTTGTAGTCTCACCTACCGTTTACATAGCAATGCAATAATACATATACAGGGTATATTTGATAGTATCAAAGAGTATACAACAAAACACTGCCTTTTTTTGAGCCCCGAAGAAAAAATTGTCTCAGATCGACCCGGAAATTTTCTTATAGAATGTGGCCTGTAGAATCCATAATTTCAAATAGTTCCAAGATTGAGCTACTAGTTCAAAAGTTACAGCCCTTTGAATTTTTTTCTAGTCTATAACTTTTGATAGTCGAAAAAGTCAAATTGATTTGGATTCTAAGCACCCAAACTAATAAGAAAAATGTTTTCCCGAGAATTTTTGGTGTAGTCAAAACACTGCCTTTTTTTGAGCCCCGAAGAAAAAAGTGTCTCAGATCGACCCCGAAAAAAATTTTCTTATAGAATGTGGCCTGTAGAATCCATAATTTTAAGCAGTTCCAAGATTGGGCTACTAGTTCAAAAGTTACAGCCCTTTGAATTTTTTTCTGGTCTATAACTTTTGATTGAGAAGTCTGATCGAAAAAGTACAAATTGATTTGGATTCTACGACCTCAGTTGGTTTTGGCACATCAATATTTGCGAGGTTACATTGAATGAATTAAAGCAATTATGCACTAAAAGTGCATTGATCACCGTATATTACTCGAAATTTCACTCACACATTCGATACAACGTCTCAAATTGGAATGGTAGTGTTCATGTGCAAAAAAGAGCCACAAGAATAATTTACTCTTTACCACCTAAAACTTCTTGTAGACCGTTATTAAGCGGCAGAGCAAAGTGATGCAAGCTTTATAGGGGAGACGATGGTGTCCGCCTGTCCGTGGACACGATACCGATTTGGTTCAAACTTTGCACAGTTGCCCTATATGCCACAAGTAATAACCCTATTGAAAATGGGCCAGATCCAATGACCCCCGCGGGGTCACGCTTCTCTGTCTTTGGCAAACGCTTGACCTATTCGGTTCAACTTTACACAGTTAACATATGTACCACATGTAACAAACCAATTGAAAATGGGTCAAATCGAGGTGCTTTGCCGCTTTTTTAGATACTTTTTAGGGGTTTATTTAAAGAATTAGCCATACTAACAGTAGTAGACACGTACGTTTTGGGGATTTGCTAGTATGCGTGCTATTTCGTGCCTGCCAAATGTTTAATGCTAAAGAACTCAGGTCCTTAAGCAAACATCTAAATTTTTTTTTGCTTAAACAGACTAATTATCACTTATGGCCGTATGTACCAACAAATGTAAGTGTAGTTTCCTAAATCCATGACAACCATTCTCTCAATAATCGTTGCCATGGATTTTAAGCTACGCTTCACTTAAATTGGTCAGGGCAATTAGGTGAATTCTTAAGAAAAACTAAGACATGTGTTTTTTAATATTTTAAATATTATTCCTTATTTATTTATGTCCAAAAATTTTATATATTTGCATGTACATCTTAACGTATTGGCAACAAATAATAAATGAAGTGAAATGAAATGAAAATTTACGCTCTCACCGTCGCCAACCGTCATTTGTTCTTTATTTGCGCTTCGCTATTTATATTAAGCCAAAAACGGAACCAACGAAATTCTTCGACCGCCGGCGTCCCCTTTAAAGCAACAGTAGACCGGCATCTTTTGGCCAAAAAGGAACCACCGAAACAATACCTTGGTAACAATCCACGCGTTTGCATTGATGAAAATGTTTATTGTTAATAACTGGACCCGCGCCTACTATTCGTACGAAACGGAATACCTACATGCAGTTTAAAATTTAAACTACAAACTACAATCATTTTAACTTTAATTAGAGTTAAAAAATTAGTGTTCAACGCAGTGTAAGTACCAGAGGGGCCCCAATAACTCGGGGCGCTTTACCCTTGGCAACGTGCTAAAGCCACATAGAGTATGCAATCGGACACAAACTGAGAACCAATCGTACAGTCTACTTGTAAGTGCTGAAACATGTAGATCATTAAGGTTCTCGGTTCGATTCGAACAGCACGAGGCACTCCTGACCCGCAGATGCCAAGGGTAACCGAAAAAAAAATAACGATCCCGTCCACTTCTCCCTCGAGAGATCAAAATTTTATACGACACTCACCTTGTGAAGACGAGGCAGAGTAAAGTTGCCGTCAATATCGTAAGCTGCTGCGATAGCGCCGATTGCGATTTCTGCATCGCTCTGTGTAGATCGTTCTGGAAAAATAAACGTCATAGAGAATTTAGGTCGACTTCGTTAGTGAGGTGGAGTTTTCCACTCAGATGAAATCTAATTCAAAGGTAAATGCATGAACGGTCGGTGCATTTGCATAATACGCTTTTAAAACCGATGCAATTGATTTGAAAGTATTAACGTTATTCAATTTCAATTCATGCAGATTTGTATTTTCCATTGCAAACGAGATATTTCCAACCCGTTATTGCACACGTGATCAGTGGATTGAGACATTTCTTGGAATTTGTACATAATTGGCACCTATTCGCCACAGAATCTCAGCTTTCTGCATAATTGGCTACGGCTACGTTGTTAACACTACACCAAAGCAAAGAGTAGTTTTTATAAAATCGATGATAAAAATGCGTATGGAAAGATGAAAACTTTACCAGCAAAACAAATGAAAAGACGACTTTATGTAAAATTCATCCACAAACCAGCTTTGTGGAAGCCAACCAGACATAGGTATAAAAAACAAAACAACGGAAAAACGGGGCATAATTCTGACACAAAGACTTGATTTATTATGAATTTCGTTGTTTTACGGAAATAAGCGGAAAAAGTTATTAGTTTCTTTTGGCTTTATGACAGCTTTATTCTATACTATTAAGTTTTAGATCCGTTAATCGAAGTAACGGTTTATTTTCTTCATTACAAAGCAGCTAATTTTAACAGTTTGAACAAACAGCCGAGGCGTTAGTGAAAACGCATGGAATTTTAATTGCCGCCATCTATCTGGTCCAGTGTTAGTAAAAGTTATTATCGAACAAAAATTAATTGGTTTTAGAGATAAATAATGCCACGTGCGAGATAAGCAACGCAGGTGCGGAATTGCGAGTGTCGCCGGGGAACAACGTTGAATTTTTTAGTGGAAGTGTTAAATAGCAAGAGCTAAGAATAAAAGGATAAACGGTTCTTTCAAGGTAGTCATCTTAGGATTTGAGCTTATCTCCAACTTTTGGATTTGCAAAATACTATAAGAACTCAACAATTTTTTGTTTCTACTTATTTGTCAAGTTTCCGAGAATTGTGGTGCATTTTCCAAAGATTTTTTTACTAAACCACTGAAGCTTGAAAATTAAACTGAAACTGAAACATTTCATTCGCCAAAGTTACAGCCTACTAGATTTGTGCGAATCGACCTTTAATTTCCAACTTTTCTTTTGTTTACGGGTGGAGCACCTTTAGCCCAAGTTAATTCAATTCAAACTTAGTAAAATGGATACTTACAAACATATTCTGAAGGGAATGTTTCGCAAGCCAGCAATTCAGAAACACGGGAATGAACAGATTTCGTAAAGGCGGGTATAAAATCTGAAACATCGAGAGAGATTATGGCGAAGTTGGCATCGCGTCACTTACCGTTAATGTAAATGGAATCGTATCTACAAGCTCTAAGATGAAGTGAAACGAGAGCAGCTGCTGCCATATATTTCCCTGAAACAAAACACAAACTTGTTAGGACTCCGACAGTAACAATTTGATCCGGTTAACGCTGTAAAAAAAAAGTAAATTCAATTGACGGGGAGATTTCGGATAACAAGCCTGGCAAACAAAGAGATCCCGGTGGGGGCGCGGTGCTAAAATTTTCATTTTATGTCGATGTTTTATTCCCATCCACTCTCATTGCGGATATGTCCGCATTGATATCGTTTCGAGGCAAATGCATTCATACCCTATTGATAATAAATTTAAAGTTCGATCGATTGAAAGCGCTTAAAAGGGATGAATAGGAGAATGGATGATCCACGAGGGCTGAATATGTTACGTGCTTTATAATTTGTTGCATTTCGTTACACAAGGAACATCTAGACGAGATTTGCGCGTTGGAAAATTGGGTGTTTTCAATTTCCACGTAGGCGGTTATAAAATCGTTTAGGGGTACACCGAAAGTTAAAATTCATATTTTAATATTGCCAGAGTAATGGTTGCAAGAGCACTTCAGTACGTCGTTATACAGACTTTTTCAAGCCCACTCGCATGTCTCAGGTGGAAAATGTCAATGATGTGTTTTATTTTTGTAACTCGCTACAATTTCGACATTCTCAAAATGTAATCAGTAATAGATTAAAAATGGTAGGTCGAAGTGTGCGGTACCGTGAAACAACACGCCAATCCAATCGGTCCAACCCATAGCCGATTGTGGAAGTTTTGCCAGTTTTCTGATGCCTTGAAGTCTCCTCAAATCCTAGACTTGTCTTTAGTAACGGTATAATAGAGGAACCTTCCCTGGTCCTTCAGAAAATTAGATACAGGTATATTTCCTTTAGGCGACCAAAACGGAGGTGAAACTCAATAGCAATTCATCCGGAGATGGCTCGTGGTATGCTGCACGTGCGAACTTTCCCGAATGATCTCCTTTTATTTCATTGATTCCAAGAAAATCATGCAATAAAAAGTGAGGCTAAAGATTATGATTTTACTTATTTCCGGTTGGGAGTGTGAATGACGGGCGTAGTTACTCGAAAATTAACTAGCTTCGGTTACAGTATCCCCTTCTTGTTTTTGAAAGCGAAACAACCAGAAGAGATTTGAAAAGCAACAAATTAAAAATAAACGGGAGCTTATTCCGAAACGATTTCTTTTCTCCACACACAATTTCACTAATCAATCTAAACTTATGCTCACACCCATGTGTTCTATTTACTTAAGATCATCCCTTATTTTGAAGGAGGAAAAATGGCATATAGTACCGTGGAAAGAACCCACCTCTAGGACTATATACAAAAAAACTGTACCTAGAAACGCCACTATCTAGGCACCCAACAAACAGAGCTGGGCAGTATTCGATTTTGTAAATACTTTTTAGTATTCAAATACTTTGTAATTAAATACTTTTATGGAAGTAGTATTTGTATTTGTAACTCAAATACTTTCACAAATATTTAGTATTCGAATACTTCGCAAGGTATTTGAATACTCTGAGAAGTATTCGAATACTGCGCATAGTATTTGAATACTTAATCGACTACACCAAAATTTCTCGGGAAAACATTTTTTCTTATTAATATTGGTGCGTAGAATCCAAAACAATTCGTACTTTTTCGATCAGACTTCTCAATCAAAACTTATAGACTAGAAACCAATTTCGAAAGAAAATTCAAATGGCTGTAACTTTTGAACTAGTAATTCTATAAGAAAATTTTTTTTCCGGGTCGATCTGAGACAATTTTTTTTGCGGGCCTCAAAAAAAGGCAGTGTACAACCTTCCTTTTTTACCAAAAATCGACTACACCAAAATTTCTCGGAAAAACACTTTTTCTTATTAATTTTGGTGCGTAGAATCCAAAACAATTCGTACTTTTTCGATCAGACTTCTCAATCAAAAGATATAGACTAGAAACCAATTTCGAAAGGAAATTCAAAGGGCTGTAACTTTTGCACTAATAGCCCAATTTTGGAACTGTTTGAAATAATGGATTCCACAGGCCACATTCCATAAGAAAATTTTTTTTCCGGGTCGATCTGAGACAATTTTTTTGCGGGACTCAAAAAAAGGCAATGTATATGTACCTTCCTTTTTTAGCAAAAATCGACTGCACCAAAATTTCTCGGGAAAACACTTTTTCTTATTAATTTTGGTGCTTAGAATCCAAAACAATTCGTACTTTTTCGATCAGACTTCTCAATCAAAAGTTATAGACTAGAAACCAATTTCGAAAGAAAATTCAAAGGGCTGTAACTTTTGAACTAGTCGCCCAATCTTGGAACTGTTTGAAATTATGGATTCTACAGGCCACATTCTATAAGAAAATTTTTTTCCGGGTCGATCTGAGACAATTTTTTTTGAGGGCTTCAAAAAAAGGCAGTGTACAACCTTCCTTTTTTACCAAAAATCGACTGCACCAAAATTTCTCGGGAAAACACTTTTTCTTATTAATTTTGGTGTGTAGAATTCAAAACAATTCGTACTTTTTCGATCAGACTTCTCAATCAAAAGTTATAGACTAGAAACCAATTTCGAAAAAAAATTCAAAGGGCTGTAACTTTTGAACTAGTAGCCCAACCTTGGAACTGTTTGAAATTATGGATTCTACAGGCCAAATTCTATAAGAAAATTTTTTTCCGGGTCGATCTGAGACAATTTTTTTTTCGAGCCTCAAAAAAAGGCAGTGTATAATAACCTTCCTTTTTTACCAAAAATCGACTACACCAAAATTTCTTGGTAAAACACTTTTTCTTATTAATTTTGGTGCGTAGAATCCAAAACAATTCGTACGTTTTCGATTAGACCTCTCAATAAATAGTTATGGACAAAAAACAAATTTCGAAAAAAAATTCAAAGGGCTGTAACTTTTGATCTAGTAGCCCAATCTTCAAACTGTTTGAAATTATGGATTCTACAGGCCAAATTCTATAAGAAAATTTTTTTTCCGGGTCGATCTGAGACAATTTTTTTTTCGAGCCTCAAAAAAGGGCAGTGTATAACCTTCCTTTTTTACCAAAAATTGACTACACCAAAATTTCTCGGGAAAACACTTTTTCTTATTAATTTGGGTGCGTAGAATCCAAATCGATTCTACATTTTCGATTAGACCTCTCAATAAAAAGTTATGGACAAAAAACAAATTTCGAAAAAAAATTCAAAAGGCTGTAACTTTTGAACTAGTAGCCCAATCTTGGAACTGTTTGAAATTATGGATTCTACAGGCCACATTCTATAAGAAAATTTTTTTCCGGGTCGATCTGAGACAATTTTCTTTGCGGGCCTCAAAAAAAGGCAGTGTATAACCTTCCTTTTTTACCAAAAATCGACTACACCAAAATTTCTCGGGAAAACAGTTTTTCTTATTAATTTTGGTGCGTAGAATCCAAAACAATTCGTACTTTTTCGATCAGACTTCTCAATCAAAGTTATAGACTAGAAACCAATTTCGAAAGAAAATTCAAAGGGCTGTAACTTTTGAACTAGTAGCCCAATCTTGGAACTGTTTGAAATTATTGATTCTACAGGCCACATTCTATAAGAAAATTTTTTTTCCGGGTCGATCTGAGACAATTTTTTTTTTCGGGCTTCAAAAAAAGGCAATACTCGAAATCGTAAACATTTCCAATGCTAAAAACCAGATGTCCCTACATTTTAACACGCAATTTCACGTTTTAAAATTAAATACACAAATCTTAAGGAACAATTTACAAAAGCGACAGAATTTGGACAAGAATTACGCAAAGACAACAATTCTCAAAGAAAAAATAGACACTGAGACAACAAATTCAAATACTGTAAACCAACTTTTACATTTACATGACGCTGTTTTCACAACAATACATTCTACTCTATTTTTCTGATTCTTTGTACCCTTTTCTCGCACACGTTCTAGTTTTTATTAGAATATTGTTTCCTAGGCAGAGAAACTGTGATGGAAACTAAAATTTCCTGTCATAAAGTAGGCACGGAAAAAGGTTCGGATTTTTTTCTGCAGACGTGCGAGGGGTAGCATATTAATCAAAAATTCACGTTGAGTAGTTTCCGTATCGCCAAAAAGGCAATGTTTGTATTCCATCGAGGATAAAAGTATGCAAATCCCTGTGTTTTTATACAACGCAGAAAGAGCTAGTGTTCGCCCGTCTGTCTTTTCCTATATCGATTGCGCTATTCCTTATTCATTTCTCTGCGGTCGCTTAGGGCCTAAAAGAAACTTCTCTCGTTACTTCTCGTTTCTTACAGGAAAATTCGAGTTCCGGGTCCAGAACTGTGGCGAATTCGAGTTTTACTCTTATTGGTAAAAGTTTCGTTGTTAAAAAGTTGGTTGGTGGTTTTGCCTTAGACAGTCGTTATGATTGCTAAAGTTGTAAGGAATAAAAAACTCGAGTCCCTCCGGTTTACGGCCGGGCGGCGGTTTGCGAAAGTGACCCGAATGTTCTTGTTCTAAATTCAGAGTTCGTATGCTGGTGGGGTGCATAAACAGATTAATTGTGTGTATTTTAAATAATTGTGTCACGATTAATTCATAATCAGCAGGTTATGGACCCTAGACATGGAAATTAAAGAAATAATTAATGGCATCAAGAGAATAAAATCGTGAGAAACATAAATCAATTGATTAACTTTGTAAAAAATTCATATCAAAAATTTAAAATAAGACTAGTAATAGAAAGTCAGAGAAGATAGTAGAGTGGAAGTAGCACAAGTGCAAATGAAAGAAAAACAATAAATTTACGTTAGAGAATAAGAAAATTTAGTAGATTAATTGAGTAATTACAAGTTAAGGAAGACATTGAAGAAGATGAGAGAGAAAAAAAGAAGAAAAAAGAAGAGAATATATCATATTAGACATGAACAAGTAAAGAGACTAGAGGGTGTATATATTTTTGGTTTTTCATTGAATATTTTCATTGGATATATTTTTAGGTAAAAGTTCTTAAGGAAAGTAGGGTCTTAAGTTCAGGGGACATCATTAAGTTTATATAGAAGGGTTTTGAGTAGCTTTATGGAT